TTGCACGTGTGTCTGTATGGCTTGACTTCTCTCAAGGGCTGACACCTCTGAAAGAAATGCCTTGTGCACGCAGAGCCTCCCAGTGGTTTTTGCCACTTGGTTTCTCAGAGGAGAGAATTCCCTCCTGGTGGAGGAGAAAACTAACATATTTTAGTATATCAAGGCACCAAGGGGCTTATTAATAACGTAATGTGGCTTCTAATTATTTTTTCTCGGGGTGGGAACAAGCCACGCTGGGCACTGTTCGCTGTGCAATGTGGGAGGAGGGTTATTAGGCTCTTTTTAGCTGCCTTTTTTTTCTTTTTTCTTTTTTTTTTTTTTTTTAAACAGCGTGGCTATTTTAAATTCGAGGTGCTGTTAACTCCTCAGCACAAACAAAGAGCAGAGCCACCAAGCTGGGTGCGAAGGGAGGTGTAACGGAGACCGCGGCCGGCGTGGTCCCTGGAGCGGGGGAGCGGGAGCATCCTGTGGATGCTGCTCCCCTGCGCGTGAAATAATTAGCCCGATTGTCGCTTCCTCATCAGTGGGAGGCTGGAGTGGCTCGGAAGCGGTGCCTTCATCTGGCCTTTTTGACGGCGGTCCATTAAATTGCTGTCAAGCTGCACGTCTCTCACGTAGGGGGCTGGGAAAGTCAAGTCGTCGCAGGCGCCGGGTGGGCAGAGCCGGGCGAGGGGAGGGGAGGGGGCTCGCAAGGGGGATGCTCCAGGAGGGAGGGAAGGGGCTCGCCGCTGCCTTTCCGTGTCCCGTCCCTTCTCTTTGCCATCGCTCCCGCTCGGGGGCTGTGCCTGGAAGAGCCCGGCTGGCGCGTTTTTTTTCAGGGCGGTAGCGGGTTCCACGTGTGCGTGCGATGCGAAGCGCAGAAACGTTCACGCGTGAAGGTGTCGGGGAATTGCAGTGAAAAAGAGCTGGAAAAGGGGATTGTAGGACTAATGTAGAACATGTGGTGTGGGGGAAGGTTTATACAAGGAGACAGTAAAAGTGCCTGAAGTGGGGAGGTGGCTGTTTTATCCGACTTGGTATAGAAGCAAATTTCCTTCCCTCTCGCGGTTTGTATTGTTTTGTTGCGTTTCTTGATTTTTTTTCTTCCTTCCCTCCCCTGTTCTGGTAAAGCACAGGGGCTCATCAGTGCTGACTTTCTGGCAGATATAAGCCACAAGTGATGAGCGCCTTCTAAATATCCTGATTAAGCCTGAAAGTCATCCCTGACCTTGACTTACCTGGATAGATATGGATAAGCAGTAATGAATATCCATTGAAATCCCCGATAGCTTCCCAGCACTGGTGAAAAGAAATGATGAACGAGGTCTTTGTGAAGCACTGAGCAAAACACTGGTTTCTGTTTCATCCCTGATACAAAGTTTCCCCGGAGACTTTTGTGATTTAGCTGGGTTTGGGCTCAGATTCCTGACAAAAAGTTCCTTGATGGATAACCTGGTGTTTTGGGAGGTGCTCCCACGTCTGTAAACAGATGCTTTCTCATGGTCCAAGAGGAACCTGGATCTTTCCTTTGGCAGAAAAAAAAATTGTGGGGAGATTCCCCAATTACAGGTGTTTAACTCCTGCAGCAGCCTTTGGAGGTGGCACGTATGTGCCAGCTCTGGGACTGTCACAGCTGTCTGGAGCCAGAGGCACATGAACAGTACCCAGTATTGTCCCCATCCTCTTGGAGTGCTGTTTAATGGCTTCAAATCCTCTTGGCTCTTTGAGATCCTTTATCCACTCTTAAAGGAAAGGTTTATTTATTTGGGTGTTATTCCTTCCTCCTCACTTTATCTCGTGTGTGGGGTTTGTTGCAAAACTAGACTTGCACCCATAGGTTGTGAGAGGAAGTGACACTGTTAGAGGGGAAACCAATATTTTTCTGGGTGCACTGCTCAGCTGCCTTGGTGTCCAAGTGTGGAAAACTGGCACTTGCTGCCAAAATCGATGGAAGGCAGGTTGCATAAAGGGAGTGAGTGTGAGGGCAGTGCCAGCCTGAGGAACGTGGAATATTTATGAAAAGAAGAAAAGAAAAAAAATATATTTTAGGCAGTTTTTCATCTCTTGCCTGCTGAGTCTGCTTTGGTGAGAAAAAGAGGAAGATGGTGGGTGGATCTTCTCTGCCATCTGGGTATCAGCACTGTAACTCTTCCTTGTGGTCTTAATTTGGTTTCTTGAGTTGTTGGATTTATCTTTTCCTGGAAGGGGAAGGGAATCCCATGTACATTGCAGGTTTATATGGATACCTCTCAGTTTGTTTACCCTTTCCAGATCTGCTCTGAGTCTCCATCCTCAGGTCCCACCTGCAGGCAGCTGGGACAGGCAGGCAGAGCTCTCCACCCAGACCATAATTAAGCTGGGGTTTATGGCTCTGCCACCAGCCACTCACTCCCTGCATTCCTTTCCCATGAGGTCTCTGGGCTCACCAGGTGGATGGAAGGGTGGGAGAGAAATCCCCTGCAGAGTCTTGCCTGTCCTGCCGGTGCTGGGAGGGCTCTCGGGGTGTCACACAGGGTGGCATGAAAGGCAGCTGGCTAATCTAAATTCCATTAGGCATCGTTAAGATCTGCCTCTCCTGGCTTTGTGCCCTGGCCTTTCCTGTGTGCAGCACCATGTGAGGAGCAATTCCGCAGGGATGGGAGAGGAGCAGGGATGCAGCCACGGGGAGAGGGATGCTGCCTCATTACATGCTCCATGGAATGTGTGGTCCAGGTGCATCCCCTGACACTAGAGCTGCCAAGTACTAAAAAACTTCCCAAGCTGCATTCCCAGTGCTGTAACCTCAGCAACTTCCTCTGAACTGAACCAGGAATTTGCTTTCAAAAGGATTTATGTTGGGAGAAAGTGATTCACCTGGGCAGCCTGGCAGCTGATTTGTCTGCATTTTGGTCATGCCATTCAAGTGACTTGGACAGGAATTTCTCTTCACTTGCCAAGTCATCCCTAAGTGTTGCCTCTGGATTTTATTTCCAGCTGTTTGGCATGCATACTCTTTACCACAAAAAAACCCCCAAACCAACAACCCAGCTTAAAATAGGTTTATGAGAAAAAGGGGATAAATTACTTGGATAACTGCTTTTAAATGCTGATGGTTCTGTGGTCCTCATGCCCTGTTTGTCTTCAGAAAAACAGTTCCATTTGCACGTGTATCAGCTAAAAATCTAGTCAAGGTGCTCTCCGGGTGAATATCTCTGTGCAGACCTGGTATTTTGGCGTCTGAATTGTGCTGCTGCAGGACCTGGACCAAAGCACTTGGCCACCCTCCAGCTTTTCACAGAATTGGTCAATCCACAGGAATGGGAAGTTGTGCTTGCCTTGACTTTTTTTTTTTTTTTTTTTAATTTGTTGTTGTTGTTGTAAGTGAGGAAACTGAGGCATGGAGACTCTCCAGGGAGCCTGGGCCAGCTGCTGGTTCCTTGCCTACTTTGCAGCCATCAGGATGTTCTTTCGGGCTGTGACTGTTGTCCCCTGTTTTGGGTGACACCAGGGTGAATTTGGGTCAGCATGGCTTAGCTGGGGCAGCTATGTCTCACCAGTGGGCAGCCATGG